TCTGTCACCACGAGTTCTCTGACTACCACCTATCAGCTATGGGGGCTCCTCATCAGTAGAGTGGGGAAAGCAGCAAGGGCCATCTCAGTTATAAAAAGTGTGCTCGCTGCAGCTCCAGAAAACCTTGTCGCTGGGTGCTAGCTGGCAAAATGCTCCAGCACTCCTTTGCTAATAGAATCATTTTAGTCTCTTCCCTGCCACATCATCCAGATCCCTCTAGTTATTGATTGTAAAGACTTGTCTTTTTTTAAAAAGAAATGTTTGTATTGATTTCAGAGAAGGGGAGGGAGAGAGAGAATCAATGATCAGCTAGCTGCCTCCTGCATGCCCCACACTGGCGATCAAGCCCACAACCAGGGTATATGCCCTGACTGGGAATCAAAACATGACCTCCCAGTTTATAGGTCGATTCTCAACTAATAAGCCACGCTGGCCAGGCTAAAGACTTGGATTTTAAGTGAATTAAGGGGCATGAACCACTGAGGTTTCTGTTTCAGTTGCAGGGGAAAAAATGGTAGTCAACAAGGAAGTTGACCTGGTATTCAGAAGATCAAGCGGGTCCCCAGATCCACTAGCCCTTCAGTCTGATGTCTTACAGACATAAGTGAGTATCACTTTGTCTTCAGCTGTGAGGGATAGAAAAAGAATACACTGCTGAAGCCAATTCCAGCATGTCATAATTGCAAGAGTTTCATCAAAAGGTTGATGGATCTTGGGGACTCAACAAGGGCTGAGCCCCATATGTTGTCACCTGTTGGGAAAGGCTGAGGGCATTTTCCCAAACCTGAAAAGGCTACATTAAATCATTGCTTGCTGCTAGACAGCTCAGGGCAGGGGTCCTCAAACTACGGCCCGCGGGCCACATGCAAATACAAATATTGTATTTGTTCCCATTTTGTTTTTTTACTTCAAAATAAGATATGTGCAGTGTGCATAGGAATTTGTTCATAGTTTTTTTAAAAAACTATAGTCCGGCCCTCCAACAGTCTGAGGGACAGTGAACTGGCCCCCTGTTTAAAAAGTTTGAGGACCCCTGGCTCAGGGCATCTTAATCTACATGTCATTGCCTCCTACTGGCCAAACACCTGAACAACAGAAGGCAATTCCCAATCTGACAATGGATTCTGTACCTAACCCTACCCTTTGATGTGTATATCACCACCTTGCCTCAGGACAATTTGTGTTAGTAAATAGCAAGGGGTCCTGAGACAAGGAGAACTTAGTTCCTTTAGCTAAGTCTTCTCTGACTCCCCATAATGCCTTTCAAAATTATGTTTTGTCTCTGGACTCTTATTTAATTTACACACAGCGCCTTCTCCAGATTTCTGAACCCTTCTTGATGCCGGATCAAGACCACCAGAATTTATGCTTGTTAGCCAAAGAAATCTTGAATGGATAGGGCCTTGAGTGGGTGGTGTAAACTAATAAGATGCGAATGCATGTCTGTATACATCTGCGTGTCTTTCTAGGGAAATTATGACTGAGAAATTGTACAATGAAAGGAATACACTATGACACTGAGACACTGAAGTTCCTCTCTTGAAAGCAGATCCCATGTAAACCAAGTGTTGGATGTATCAACCTTGAGGGGAGAGGAAACGCCTTACCATCCCCTCCCTTGCATGATCAAGTGTATTGTTTCCCATGGCTGCAATAGCAAATCGCCATATTAAAAGAAAGCAGGGTTTTTTTTGTAACTATATATATAATGATGGTTGTTGACTAGACTTTTTGTGGTAATCATCTCATAATGTATACAAATATCAAATAATCATTTCAGACATGTAAAACTAATATAATGTTATATGTCAATTATATCTAAATTAAACACACGCACACACGCACACACGCGCGCACACACACCAATCTATCATGTCACCATGCTGGATGTCACAAGTCTAAAATGTGTCTGCAGGACTACATTTTTTCTAGAAGCTCTAGGAGAGACCCTGTTTCCATGAGTCTCCCGGCTTCTAGAGGTTTCCTCTATTCCTTGGCTTACGCACCCTTTCCTCCATCTTCAAAGCCAATCGCGTAGCATCTTCTAATCTCCTTTTGACCCTTCTTCTTCTCTCTCATAAAGACTCGCGCTTACATTGGGCCCCTGGGGGTAATTCAGGAGAATCTCATCTCAAAATCCTTCATTTAAGCACATCTGCAAAATCCCTTGTGAAGTAACATGTGTACAAGGATTCAAACATGAACATCTTTGGGAGGCCATCATTCAGCCTACCACATCAAGGATGCGAAAGTTATATTTCAGTGGTTCTCAACCTTGGCTGCACATTAGAATCACCTGGGAATCTTTTTAAACTCCTCATCCTCCAGAAAGAGGCCCAGAAATCAGGATTTTAAAAAGATTCCCAGGTGATTCTAATGTGCAGCCAAGGTTGAGAACCACTGTTATATTTTGTTCCCTTGGTGACTTGTGTGTGACACTGGCATGCACATGACTTGCCTCAGTGCTGGTCTGGGCTGGCATGATTTGCACTTCTTTTATTTTCCTACATGACACAGAGCTAGGTGAGCATTAATCATAACAACCAGGTGATCTACAGAGATCCAAGGGCCTATTTTATGGGATGTATTCAGCACCAAGTCTTATTTTTAAATCTAAGAAAAAAACAGCAAAGAAGTGTTAGTCAGTGCCGAGTCATAAGAACATTAGGATTTGAAGGGATCTGTGAGATCATATGATCCAGTTCTTTTCATCTGTGGACGAAAGGGGCCACATGCTGACCTGACAAGCTCAGGAGAGGCCTGCATGGCAGTTTTGCAAACTCGGAGACCTAAAGTAACCTCAAAGGATGGTCTGAAATTAAACCTTCACTAAACGCAGAGATGGTGGGCAGTTACGTCCTAAGCCGGTATCTTCACTGATAAGGTCAACCTTTCCCGTAACTGAGCCTATCTGTCTTTTTGCATCTATGATGACATGTCCTTGGGATGCTGGGTAACTTGTGACTTCCCTGTATCTGGAGCCCCTGGGGCACGGCCAGGTGTGCTGGGCCCAGGACAGATGCCGCAGATTCTTTCATTTATCATGTTAGTTGTTCCTGCACCCACCTAAGTATGTGTCCATCATTTTACTTTTCATCCTATCACAGAGGTTTCCCAGCTTCGCTTAATCCCACCTCCTTAAATCTGTCACCAATGAATTTCATGTATAAATACGGATATAACCCTGCCATTCTCCCGAGCACTATCTCAATTCGTTGAGGTTCTGCTTCCAGTCATATGTCGACAGTTTGGCTCAAATAAACTCACAAAAATTCTTTACAGGTTTCAATGGCTTTTTACGTTAACACATCTTATATGTGAGGAGAATGAGGTGAAGAGAGACCAAAGGGACTTGCCAAGCTCAGCAACTAAGGACATAAAAAAGTAGCACTTGCTTCCTAATTCTCTTGGTACATCCCCAAGGTTGCAAATTAAATTTGGGAAGCTCTATGGAGTTAGTCACAGGTGATCTGATCTTGTTATATTTCCCCCCTTAGTACTGGGTAAATAAGATATATTTTTAAAAACAAGAAAAAGGAAAGTACACTCTCCATGAAGTTCCCTGATTTGGTATAACCACTGTTTACCAATGTGGCTGATGCATACAGTGACCGAATAATGGCAAGTGGATTTAAATCTCAGGATGAGGAAACTGTGTGTGTGTGTGTGTGTGTGTTCAGAACAATTATCTAAGAAATATAGTTGAGCTCTAGCTGGTTTGGCTCAATGGCTAGAGTGTTGGCCTGTGAACCAAAGGGTCCCAAGTTTGATTCTGGTCAAGGGCACATACCTTGGTTGCAGGCACCTGGCCCTGGTTGGGGTGTGTACAGGAGCAACCAATCTATGTGTCTCTCTCATGTCAATGTTTTGCTATATCTCTCCCTCTCCTTCTACTCTCTCTAAAAGTCAATGGAAAAATATCCTCAGCTGAGGATTAACAACAAAAAAAACAAAACATACCTGAAATAAGTGTGGAGGAAAATGTCTAGTTTCCTTGGAGTTTTTTTTAAATGCTTGTTTTTCTTTGAAATTTATAGAAAAATATTTGTTGAGAGCCCACTGTGTGTGAGAATCCTAGGTTCTGAGAAAAAGACAACAGAAGAAGGTTGAGATTCATTATTTGACTTGAATTTCTCAAGCGTCTAAAAATACAGAGAAAAACAAGTTGAAGTGTTAAAATACAATAACCCTGAAGTTACATAAGTAGGGCATTGAATGAGAATAATTGATTATGTGGCATGTTAAAAAATGTAAAGTGCAGGTTTTTTTTTTAAATTCCTTGTGGGTGGGGAACCTATTGCCCTGCTCAAGCTGAATTGCTTAATCTGCCAAAATTAGACAAGCCAACATACTTAGGCGTGGTTAGGGTAGAGCAATGCACAATACGGGAAAATCCTGATGCAAATGAGAGAAATAAGTGTCGACATTTGCACCTGTTTGAGCCCTTTGCCATTTTGGGTCATAGTTCTGTCAGGTCTGGTTTGCTGCTATATGGCTTATTTTTCCTATGGTATTTGTTAAATCAGTTTTTTTCCATACCGTAAATTACCCCAAAAGAGCAAAGCAGCTTACTTTGGAAATTAAATGAACACTTCCAGGTCATTGGGTGTCTTGCGCTACAGTTCACTCGTCACTATATTATGGACTATGGGAATATTTAGGAAAATGAGTAAACTAGAGACGATGTACATAATTCGACTCAGGGAAGCACTCACATTTTTACTTCTTGTAGCCATGAAATCATCGGAAGGGGAATTAAGCAGAAAGAGGAGAGGAGAGAGATGGTGTTGAAAGGATGTTTCTGAGATGAGTTGGAGTTGGTGGGGGAGAAGCTGGGCACCTTGAAAGCTCACATCGGTTTCAGATCATAACTCTTTACAACCTGCAGAGGTCTGAAGTTTCTGCAGAGGGCGGAGGGATGGGAGCTGTCATCCTGTGCTGAGCAGGTCCGGCTTTGAGACTGACTGATCAGTCAAGCAATTTGGAGAAGGACTTCTGGGTCAGAAGTTGCACAACGGACGGTGGCAGCAGTGAGAAGTCTGGATGATATCATGGACCATACTTCTCTTGAAGCAATCATCTTGGGTCTCTGTGCAGCCTTTAATAGAAAACCAGGTAATTCCACCTGAAGGCAACAAAGAGGCAGAGAGGCAGGGACAGTCTTTGGCGAGGTGCAACCTACCTGGCCTCAGATAACAGGTTAAAAAAATAAACAGCGCCCTCGCCGGTTTGGCTCAGTGGCTAGAGCTTTGGAAGGGTCACAGGTTCGATTCTGGTCAAGGGCACATGCACAGGTTTGGGGCTTGATCCCCACTAGTGGGTGTGCAGGAGGCAGCTGATTCTCTCTCATCATTGATGTTTCTATCTCTCTCTCTCTCCCTTTCTTTCTAAACTCAATAAAAATATATTTTGAAAAATAAAACAACCCTAGCTGGTTTGGTTCAGTGGATAGAGCATCAGCCTGCGGGCTGAAGGGTCCCAGGTTTGATTCCAGTCAAGGGCGTATGCCCAGGTTGTGGGCTTGACCCCCAGTGGGGGGCATGCGGAAGGCAGCTGATCAATGATTCTTTCTCATCATTGATGTCTCTATTTCTCTTTCTCCCTCTTCCTTCCTCTCTGAAGCCAGTAAAGAAATATATTAAAAATAAAATTAAAAAGAAAATAAACAGCAACAAACACTAAGCAAAAGTCTAAGGTTTTTTTGATACAATCGTCTTGCCTTTAAGAATTCCCACCTAAAAGTATTCTCATTGAGGACATTGCAATACAAAAGCCCTGAAATTGTAAGACAAAAAAAGCTTTCAAACTCTAGCTAAAAGCCATGAGATTGCCATTGACTATAAAACTGTTGAATGGTTAGCGGTTTGGAAGCTTCCTAATGCCCTCCCCCAGTTTAACCCAGGCCATGAATTATTCAAAGGGCTGAATCCTCAGAAGGACCATTCAGATGTGTGTTTCTCAAAAATGAGGTGTGTCCTTGACTTCACTGAATTTCCCCCATTGTGGAAGTAACACATGTTCACTGTAGAAACTGAGGAAAATACACAGAAGTTCAAAGTCAGTGTCAGCCGTGTCCTGTACCCAGCATCCCAGCTTCGGCTGGGAAAGCACAGAAGAGTAATTCCCCAAAGGCAGCAAAACATAGGGTGGTTGAAACGTGAGCAAACAGTCGTCTCTTGACGGGGTGGGGTCCCTTTTGCTCCCCCACCCCCAGGACAGTAAATGATGTGCAGGAGATATTTTTGTTGTTTGATTTGGAAGATATTACTGGCATGTAGTGGGCAGAGGCCAGGATGTGCTAAATAAACATCGTACAATCCACAAGATAGCCCTGCATAACAAACAATTATCCTGCCAGTGTCAACAGTATCAAAGATGAGAAACTCTGTTTTAAAACTGTCAAAAGGGTGAATCCCAGTTCTAATGGTTTCACATCCTTGAGATATTGAAGCAGGACTTTGGGGGGAACATAGCAGGCTTAGGAATTTTTTAGAATTGGGGTCCATGGAAAAGCGGGGGGCTGCAGACTGGGAGAAGGTACCTTTCCATTACACAAGGAAGCCAGGGGCAGCTACATCTCCATAAGACAAGGGAGCAGCAACGGGTATATTTCCATAAGACAAGGGAACTGGGAGTAGCCAAGAAAGGTCTATATTTACAAAATAAGGAGGAAGCAAGCCCAGAGGGAATAGGAGAACAATGAGGGAGGAGAGCCTCACACATCCCATGTGAGGATTGACCTTTGAGCTCAGGGGTTGCTATAGTGACCAAATCAAGGGGATACTGACCAATCAGAGGGGATATCAAGGCACAAAGATCTGTAGCCTTTATAAACTAGAGAAAAGGGACTCAGTGGGACCCTGTCCCCCTCCCTACGTGGGAGTCCATTCTGTAGGACTCTTCCCTCTCCCCACGTGGGAGTCTGTACTTGTTCTTAAATAAATCTCCACCTTTGCTATTCCACTTTCTGTCCGTGGAGTGGATTCATTCTTCGATTCCGGCGGACAAAGAATCCGGGTTCCAGTCCAAAAATTCGGTATCAATATGGCAACATCTCCAAGTGAGGAAACTGCTCTTCACAACATTGCAGTCACTAGGTCCTTGACCCACCGAGAACTATTGTCAATGTTGTGCTGTATAAACTTCCAGGCTCTTTCTTCTGTGCAAAGTCCTTTAATACTTGTTTTCTTGAACAGACTGTCAAACCTCAGAGGGAAGGCAGGCATGGACACAGACAATAGGGTGGTGAAGGTCTGGGGTGGGGGTGAGGGAGGGGTGGGAGAGGTCAATGGGGGGGAAAGGGGATATATGTAATACTTTCAACAATAAAGATTTTTCAAAAAACCCCACACAACTGGTTTTGATGTCGAGCTGACTAGATGACTGAAGAAGGGAGGGGGACTCCAGGGAGCCTTTGAAGTATGGTAGCAACCATCTCAGGTAGAAACTGTAGTTTAACTCTAACCCTGCTGTTTGGCTTAACAATATAAATCTCCACCTTTGCTATTCCACTTTCTGTCCGTGGAGTGGATTCATTCTTCGATTCCGGCGGACAAAGAATCCGGGTTCCAGTCCAAAAATTCGGTATCAATATGGCAACATCTCCAAGTGAGGAAACTGCTCTTCACAACATTGCAGTCACTAGGTCCTTGACCCACCGAGAACTATTGTCAATGTTGTGCTGTATAAACTTCCAGGCTCTTTCTTCTGTGCAAAGTCCTTTAATACTTGTTTTCTTGAACAGACTGTCAAACCTCAGAGGGAAGGCAGGCATGGTCACAGACAATAGGGTGGTGAAGGTCTGGGGTGGGGGTGAGGGAGGGGTGGGAGAGGTCAATGGGGGCGAAAGGGGATATATGTAATACTTTCAACAATAAAGATTTTTCAAAAGAGAGAGAGAGAGAGAGAGAGAGAGAGAGAGAACGAGAACACAAGCTAATGAGTTCCTGGAAACTCAGTGGTCTCAAGACCCGAGGGCTCTAGATAAGGTGTTTCTGTCAATTCAGTGACCCTGAGACCCAAAACTATAATTAACACGCTTAATTCTGCTTATGTAAACTGCTTTTTTGCAAACCAGGTTCCTCATTCCAAACCTTGAGATGTAATCAATACCTTTGTGATGTTTGCCTATATAAGTCTGGTTTTGCGGCCATCTTATCACTATGAGATTTGGGGAATGGCCCCTCATAGTCCCGGATTGCAATAAATGTGACTCTTTAATTCGACTTCTTGAGGCGTCCTGCTGTGATTCGTGGGGTACATTACAACACCTTGGCACATTTCTCCTTCAAAAGGAAGGGGCCCTGACTGGCAAAGGTGCAAGTCACGGGGAACTCGAGATGCAGAGAGGGGATTTAGACTGGACAAGGTGAACGAAGCTCAAGAAATCTTCTTAACCTATAACCCCAGCAGATCTGACCCCTGAATTCTATTCCATTTTCCCAGCTAAATTTGATCTCCTCTTCCAATTCTATAAGGAAATTTAGAGTTTTGCTTTGTGGAGATTTCTGTGCAATGAGGAAGTACATAGATTCATTAGGAATGTGTGCTCAGAAGTCAGAGTACTTGCATTTGACTGTTGGCTCTGACATTCATTAGCTGTGTAACATCATGCAAAAAAATTTTTTTTTAATATATTTCTTTATTGATTTCAGAGAGGAAGGGAGGAGAGAGATAGAAACATCAATGATGAGAGAGAATCATTGATTGTCTGCCTCCTGCACACCCCGCACTGAGGATGGAGCCTAAAACCCAGGCATGTGCCCTTGGCCGGGATCGAACCTGGGACCCTTCAGTTTGCAGGCCGATGCTCTATCCACTGAGCCAAGCTGGCTAGGGCCATGAAAAATTTTTAATCTTTCTATTTCTTAGATTTCTCATGTTTCAAAGCTGGAGATAGTGACCAGATCCAGCCCATATTATTGTTTTGTTTTGTGGTTGTAATGTACTTCAGGTAAATGCTCAGAGAATCTGCTCATTTTAAATGTTTTCTCTTTTTTAGGTGGCTTACCTTTAATGTGATACTCTTTAAAACAGTACTGACCAGGTTTTGTTCTGCAGGTTCCAAAGTCTAAAAGACATCCATGGAAGGGCAATGAAAGGTTGCATAACCTACAAATCACACCTTCAACATCTCCAAGGACTGGAGAGAAAATATAAGGGGAAAATAGAGATGAAAACCAGAGAGAGGAAAAACAGGGGAAGAAAGAGAGATCCAAAAATAAAGCAGTGATTTTCAACTTTAAAAAGTAAGCAATATTTTAAAAATTTGGTTTCACATATGCTACATTTCATGAATTGCAAGTACTCTGAACTGTTACTAATTAGAAATTAGGCCAGGTGGTCTAAAAAACTTACTTGGTTAAAATGTATTTAGTTCCTCAGTGCCTAATTAAATCAATTCAAAGTTATTTAGCCAGAAAAATTCATTTCAGCCATATGGCCACTATTAGGTCTTCTTTTCAATGTCTAAAGCAGCACATTATACATAGTAAATTCTGTCAGTATTTATTGCTTGATTCATGTTTATAGATTGCTTATCTTCAATACTTAAATTCAATGGCTCAAAAAATGTTATTAATTTTGGTTATGTAGAAATAACCCAGAAATTCTTAAAACGTGGTCAACATCCATAAGAGTGGAAGATATCATCTGGAAGATCTGTTTCCAAAATTGATTTTGAATTCGATTTACTTAAGTAGTTAAATAAGCACAGATTCCCAGAGGGAACCCCCTCCCCCAAGTAAGAATCTACAGGGGTTGGGGCTCAGGAATCTGTATTTTAGACATGCAGAAACAGCAGAAGTCATGTGACTGAGATATAGATATGAAGACCAGTTTTTGAGAACCACTGGTTCTACCAAATTCAGGAATCTCCATTTTGATAACTCCTCAGGGAGCCTTGGCAAGTGATGGAGAGCTCATCACTACTAAAACCAGCTCTGATTATGAAAGATTCTTCTGAAATTCAGCTACAATTCATCTTCGTGTTCATAGTCCCCTTATCTACACTAATAAAAGAGAAAGATGCAAATTGACCGTACCTTCACGACACCCACCAGCCAATCAGGAGTAAGTATGCAAATCAACCCAACAAAGATGGTGGTTTAATTTGCATAATGTTCCGCACCACCCCAGACACTCTGGGCCTCTGGGCAGTGTGGAAAGGCAGAAAGGCGGCTCTGGGCTGGAGTGAAGGCAGAAAGGCGGCTCTGAGCCAGCGTGAAGGCAGTGCCAGCAGCCAGGGGAAGGAAGGCCCATTCTTGCATGAATCTTCGTGCATCGGGCCTCTAGTAATATATGAAGAGCATTGCCATTCACTCCTATTCATTGATAACTCAAAGAAGAGTTTACTAGACATTGTGTGCAATGTAGTTTATATCTCCCTCTGTCATGTTGATGTTAGAAGAGATCACTTTTAATAGAAAATAGTCTGGCTGATGAGGCTAATTAATCTCTCCTGACTATTCTTCCCAGTTTCAACCTCAACTGAAGACACTCTGGACATTTCACATTGGTTTTCCCATTAAGCATGGCAGACTTTCAGTCCATAATCAAGTATCAATCAACAAATATCTTTTAGGAACTAAACGTATGCCAATTGATAAGCCATTTACCAGTATTAGTCCAATTATTTCCCATAATAAACCTTTCCAGCAGGTGTTGTAGTTGCCCACATTTCACGTAAAAGAAAACTGATTTTAAGTCGTTTGCTCAACTGGCAGAGATAGGCTTAAAAGGGTTTGTTGGAATCCCAAACCCTTGTTCTTAGTAACCACACCAGGTCACTGGAGCTACCAAACTTTTGATGTCACTGCCTTCTTTCTCTCCCTCTCAGATGGTCCCTCCTCTCTCTGATTCCACACCCAATATCCATGATCTTCTTCTTCAAACCTTGTTTCCCACAGTCTTTATTATGACTGAAGAAGATGCCTTCACTTTTAGGCCTTCATGCTGATTGTAAATTTTCAGTTACCTGAATACTTATACACATATTCTCAGATCCCATTTACTTCCTTTTAGTCTTTTTTTGTCTTAAAAATGTATTGTTGATTTTTAACACTTGATACATTTTGATTTGACAATTAAATTTAAAGCTTCAGATTATATGTAAAATAGTTTCTTTACATAGTTATTTCTGAAGTACGCTATTCTATTTTATAACTTTATTTGTTAGCTCTTATTATGTTGTATAAGAGCTTAGTCAGGCCTTGTTTTAAGCACCTTAATTAGACCACACACCACGTATATTATGCTTCTGTAATTTCTTAGAAAAATTTCCCTCATTTTGATTTATACTTTTTTAATGACTTACCACCTAAAAGGCACAATAAGACAAAAACACGACTGATGACAATCCTCATTCTTAGGTTTCTAGACAAAAAAGAAGATGGAAGGAGAAATACATCCCACTGTTAGATCTTTCCTGGGGAAGTAATCAGTTACACATTTATGTTAGCTATTATGAAAAAGGGAAATGACTGGCAAAGTTTTTTTTATTTCATTAATAAAGTATAAATAAATTTATTCTGTGATGGAGGAAAAGTAAGGTACCTGTCTTTACAAAAAATTCACCATAAAACTTCTCAATCCAAGAAACATTTTAAGTTGAGATGTGTTCTCATCAAATACCACCCCCTCCCTTATTTCCCTGAATAGTAATTATTTAATGCAAAAATATAAAGTGAGATAGATGTGTTTCTAGATTGATATTGTGTTAAAAATCCTCTTAACCATTAGTTAAGAAGTAAGTATTTATTAATTCTTCTTTATAAACTAATACTTTCGTTGCAAATGATCATATTTATAAGGCAAAGAATTATATATAGTTAATAGTAACTAGTACTTATTAAAATAAAGAGAAAGACATTTCCAGATTGGCTAAAATGTAACATTTAGTTGTTCATGACTTACCTACTTGAGGTATTATAGATCTGAAGTTTTTTAAAGGATAGCAACAAGTAAACTTTGTGATGTAATGAAGTCCGTTATAACTGAAACCAACAAAGCAAGTCTCTAATCCACCAGATTCCAAACAGTTTAAACAGTAAAAATTGCGCAAGTAAAATAGGTAATTTTTTTGTTTGCACACTCTGATCTATATGGAATTTAAATGCCTTAGTCATGAAATTAACATATAAGACTAAGTCAATCAATAGTTAAATTGATTAAATTTAGCTAAAGATTTCTATATTCGCTATGGTATAGATTAATTAGTTCACATGCTCATAACCATGTGGGTATACTATCTGTTCATCATATAAAATATTTGGTCTTGATTATTAGAAATCTATGTATGTAGCAGAACTAGGTACATTAAGAAAGCAATTTGATTTTTTAAAATGTTTATTTCTAGGGGGGAAGGGGAGGCATATTAAAACTTTCAACAATAAAGAGTTTAAAAAATGTTTATTTCTAAATTAATATATAGTTCTAAATTAATACAGTCTTCTTGAACTGAATAAAAATAATAAGAATATTAAAATCTTTGACCATGCTCCCTACCAAATCCAGTGTCTTTCCAAATGTAACCACATTATTAAAATGATGAGTATCCTTTTTCATTCTGTGCATTTTATAATATATTTGCAACTTGGAAATATGCATAATATTGCTTTTTGTTTAATATTTGCAAAAATAGTGTTACATATTATTTCCCTCTTCCTTAATTATATTGAAAATCTACGTCAATCTTTAATAGTAATTCATTATTTTTATTGCTATATAATATTTTTGGTATGGCTTATACCATTGTGATTTTGATTTGCATTTCTTTGATGATTAATAATGTAGATGATTAATAGTGTCTTTTGGAAAAATATCTATTCAAATCTTTTGCCCATTTTTTAATCAGATTTTTGTTGTTTTGTTATTGAGTTGTCTGAGTTTTTTTTGCATATTAAGTCTTTATTAAATATACTAGAGGCCTGGTGCATGAATTTGTGCACAGGTGGGGCTGGCCGGCCCAACCCAATGGGGGCCGATTGGGGCCAGGCTGGCGGGGGGGAAGGAGATATGGGGAGGTTGGCCATCAGCCCCGCCCCTGATCAGGGTTGGGCTGGCCACAGGGGGGCTGTGGGAGGTCTGCCAGCTCTGCGCCAATGGGGGGGAGCTGATTGGGGGCCCAGCTGGCCAGGGGGAGGGGCTTCAGGAGGTTGGGTGGGGCCCAATCGGGCTGATTGGCTGCAGCAGTGTGTTGTCATAGTGACCGGTTGTTTCAGTCGTTCGGTTGTTCCATTATTCTGGTCACTTGGCTTTTATATATACAGACTAGAGGCCTGATGCACGAATTCGTGCTCGGGTGGGGTTCCGAGGGTGTGGGGGGGGACATAATAGAGACTCTCTGGGTGGGTGGTGGGATGCCCTTGTGGCCTGGGATCTGGATCTGTCCCGCTGACATTCGCACCGGTTGTCAGAAGCCACCTGGCGGCTGCTTTTATATTGTTTCTTCCTTGGGGAGCATCTAGGGAAGGGAAGCAGTCATGGTGCCTGAGGCTGACTTCCAGGAGGCCAGCAGTGCTGTCAGGATTGTGCCAACAACACTGGTTTGTTGGTGCCTGGCCCATTCTCTGGAGATTGGATCTGCAGGACCGCTGAGGGAGTGAGTGGCTGCCACCTGGCTGGTGGGCCATTGGGATGGGTTGGTCAGCTGAGCGGTGCTCCTGCTGTGGGAGCGCACTGACCACCAGGGGGCAGCTCCTGCACTGAGTATCTGCCCCTTGGTGGTCAGTGCGTGTCATAGCAACCAGTTGTTCTGGTCATTCTGGTCATTTGTTCACTTAGGCTTTTATATATATACTAGAGGCCTGTTGCATGAAAAGATTCGTGCAATAGGCCTTCCCTTCCCCTAGCTGCTGGCATCGGTTTTCCTCCCGCACCCAGACCTTCACTGCTCCAGCCGGAGCCACCTTCAGCGCCTTTGCTGCTCTACTTCGCGCCTACGTATGCAAATTAACCATCTTTGTTGGTGGCTAATTTGCATATCTCGCTGATTAGCCAATGGGAGGCGTAGTGAAGGTACGGTCAATCATTCTGTTTGTCTATTATTAGATTAGATACTAGAGGCCTGTTGCATGAAGAGATTCGTGCAATAGGCCTTCCCTTCTCCTGGCTGCCGGCACTGGTTTTCCTCCGGCACCCGGGACCCAGGCCTTTGCTCCGGCCGGAGTCACCTTCCGTCCTCCGTCTTTGCGGCCCTGGCTAGAGCCTCCTTCCGTCTTCCATCTTCGTGGCTCCGGCTCGCCTTCAGTCTTCGCTCTGCTGCTTGGAGCCTATGTATACAAATTAACTGCCATCTTTGTTGGCAGTTAATTTGCATATTGTGCTGATTATCCAATGGGAGGCATAGTGAAGGTACGGTCAGTTACCCTGTTTGTCTATTATTAGATAGATAGATGATTTGTAAATATTTTCTCCCATTCGGTAGGTTGCCGTTTTTTTGTTGATAGTTTCTTTGTTTGTGCTTAACCTTTATTTAAAGCTTTAGTGTTGAAAGTGTTACATTTGTCCCCTTTTTTCCTCTCTTGACCCCAGAATGCTCCCTCTCCCCCTACTCTGTCTTGTTCCTGTTCTTAGGGGAAATGATTTTAGTTCTTGCCCACTGCGTAAGATGTTGGCTGTAGGTTTGTCACATATGACCTTCATTATGTTGAGATACGATTCCTCTATTCCCACTTTGCTGAGAGTTCCTGTCAAAAAATGGGTGTTGGATTTTGTCAAATGCTTTTTCCTCATCTGTTGACATGAGCATGTGAGTTTTGTCTTTCAATTTGTTTATGTCATGTATCACATTTATTGATTTGTGAATACCGCACCAGTCTTGCACCCCTTGCATCATACTTGGTCATGGTGTATGATATTCTCAATATATTGCTGGATCTGATTTGCTAATATTTTGTTGAGGATTCTAGCATCTATGTTCGTTAGGGATATTGGCCTGCAATTCTTTTTTTTTCTGTAATGTCTTTATCTGGTTCTGGAATTTGTGCAGAAGCCTTTTAGTTTGATGTGGTCCCACTATTTATTTTTGCTTCTGTTGCTTTTGGTGTCAGATTAAAAAAAAAATTATTGCCAAGTTCTATGTCAAGGAGCTTATAGTTTCAGGTTCTACAGTTATGTTTATACCGATAATCTCTTTTGATCTACTTTTTGGTCCAGTTTCATTCTTTTGCATGTGGCTGTTCAATTTTTCTAGCACCATTTATTGAAAAAACTGTCCTTTCCTCATTGTATATTTTTGGCTTCTTTGTTGTGAAATTAATTGGCCATATATGCATGGATATATTTCTGGGCTCTCTATTCTGTTCAATGATCTATATGTTTATTTTTATGCCAGTACCATACTCTTTTTAAATGACATTTAAATAATATTCTGGAAAAGGCAAAACTATAGTGGTTGCAGGAGTTGAGGGGGAGAGGAGGGACTGACTACAAAAAGATAACATGAGGGAAATTTTGAGGATGGCCCAATGATTCTGTATCTTGTTTGTGGTAGTGGTTACAAGACTGTGCATTTGTGAATTTCAGTTAATATAAATTAAAAAATAAATTTAAAGTATTAATAGGAAAAAAATCTCTAAGTGCTGACAGGGAGAGATAATAGGAGTTAAAAGAAACAGTAAGAGGGGATTCTAATTTATTATTTATATTGATGGATCAGGGAAGGCTCATGATAACAGAATTGAAAATTAAGCTGAACTGTGAAGAATGGTGAGGAATTGGCCAGGAGAGAGATGGGGAAAGAGGATTTCAGGCAGAGGAAATAGCTTTTAGAAAGTACTTGCCTTGATAAGACATGGAAGTACTTTGGTTCTCAAATGCTAAGAGAAAACCAATGTGATTGTAGCCCAGAGCACCAGTGTAAGAGTAATGAGACAGGGGCAAGTCCTGCATGGCCTTATGGGCCACCCATTTAAGGATTTTGGCTTCTATCCAAAAACAATGGCATTTTTACTAGTGATTAGGACTAGCATGATTAGATTTATAATTGTACTTTAAAAATGAGTCTACAGGTTGAGAAAATGGGAGATGAGGTAGAGTGGAAGTTGGAATATTTGCATAAAAGAAAAAATGATCTGGGACACATCCTTTTACAGGCTGTAATTCACACCCTCCTTCTGGGGCAAATGAGCATTTCTAACAAACCCTTATGCCAGTTTCTAATGATGGAATAAAGCCTTGTTCTGGATAGTGATACACCCAGTTGACTATCAGGTGACTACCAGTCAAGAATCTAGCGACCTTCAACCAGACAGTTTTTTCTATATCTGATCCATTCCCATTTTCTAAAAAATGTTTCTACCAAGAAGAAATATTTTAATTGACCTACAAAGAGCATTTTTTCTTGCATGCATGCAAGATCTCAATAAGACGTTGACATATGTTAATTCGAAAAATTTTTTGAAAAAGTTTCTAGAAACAAGGTCAGTGTCCAAAATTAATTGCCTTCCTGAATATCATCAATAAACCACTAACAAACATAAACTCTAAAAGACTCCATTTACAATAGTGGACATAAGACACTGGGGGGTAGGGGAGGGCAGGGGATTGTTAAAAATGGGTGTTTCTATAAACAAAAACGGTATTATGATAAAGAGAAATCTAAGAAGGCCAGGGGATTGTCAGGCGGCGGGGGGCGGGGGAGGGGGAGGACATATATGTAATACCCTCTGTAATACTTTAAGCAATAAAATAAATAAATAAATAAAATAAAAATTCTGTTTAAAAAAATAAATAAAAGACTCCATTTACAATAGCAATAAAAATAAGGAACTTGCAAATAAATACAACAAATGACATGCAAGATTAGCATGGTGTTCCCAGGTGTCCTTGGCTTGTGGCTGCATAGCTCTGATTTCTGACTCCACCTTTGCATGGCCTTCTCTCTGTTTTCTCTTCTGTCTCTTATGGCATTTGCCATTAGACGTAATATCCAACTGAATCATCCAGGGTGATAGCATCTTAAGATCCTTAATTACATCAAAGATTCTTTTTTCAAATAAGGCCACATTCACAGGTTCCAGGGGTCAGAGCATGGACATATCTTTGCGGGGGAGGGAGGTACCATTTAACCCGTTACCCACAGTAAAGAACCAAATAAATGGAGGAATGGACCATGCTCAGATGAATGAAGACAAATGTTTAAATGATGTAAATCCTTACCAAATTATTTTTTCTTTTTTTCTGCAAAAAGCTTTATTGTTTCATTTGGTTCAATGCATGGGAGAGGGCTTCAGGGTGGTTAAAGGAATGGCTGGTAGTTCAGGTAAAAGCCAGACCCAAGGGAATGCATAGGGGGCCCTCAAAGGCCTCTGGGCTCCACAGGCTCCTAGTCCACTTGAGGGAAAGCCTTTGGAAGAGATCCCCGCCCCGCCCAGCCCGGGGGCCGCCAGCCTGCGGAGGTGAGTCAGGTGTCGCCCATCTTCTTGATGAGTTTCACCTCCTCACCCCGGAAGTGGTTCTCCAGGAAGCCACAGAGCTGAGGGTCTGCGCGGGTAGAACCAGGGCCTGCGGCTCCAAAAGGGTCTGATTCAGGTCCTCTCCAAGGCCAGGGTGGCTTCCATGACCCTGAGTTCTGCCCACTCACCTTGGGGAGGCTTCAGCAGGTCCTGGGAGAGAATGCCGCTACGGAGCTGGTTTTGCAGCTTTAAGAGAAGCTCAGCGCCCTCGCGCTTCTCCACCAACTCGCCCTCCAGAGCCACATCTTCACGGGGAAATAGAAGCCCAGAGAGAGGTAGGTGTCAGGCCCGCAGGTGCAGGATGGCCAGGCGGTTGACCGCAGCCTCCACCTGGGTGGAATAACTCTGACGAATTTGGGAGCTCACGGTTGTTCAGCAATAAGGAGTTAAGGTAGAAAAAACACGGTGTGTTGGCTGGTCTCAGAGGTGGTTCTGAAGGTTGTGACTGGATAAGATGCAGGAGCGTGGCCTGAGGCTGGAAGAAGGGGTGTCCCTGGGTCTGTTCGTTCCACACTGTTGTAGCAAGAGACAGATCCGGGACCACTGAGGGCACTGCTGGAAATTATTTCTTAAGCAAGAAACAAAAAGTACTAACAAGAAAAGATAAAGATGATAGCCCTGGCTGGTGTGGCTCAGTTGTTTGGGTGCCAAAAGTTGCCGGTTTGGTTCCTAGTCAGGGTACATGTCTGGGTTGTGGGAACCTTAATAGGGGGCAGCCAATCAGTATTTCACTTTCACATCAATGTTTCTCTCCCTCTCCTTTCTTCTCTTTCTAATAATAAAAATATTTTAAAAATAAAGATAAATTTGACTACATTAAGATTTTTTTGTCTATGAAAAGGTGTTATAAAAAAATAGAAGGACAAGTCAAAAACCTAGAGAAGACATTGGAATACATACAAAGAAGATTGATATTCAGAATATATTAAGAATTTCTGAAAAAATTAAGAAGAAAAAGACTGACAAAATATGTAAATTCTGTTATATCTATATATTCTTGTACCTATGTTACATTAATTATATTTTATTATAATATTAGGACAAATACATGAGCAAATATTTTAAAGAGGAAATCTGAATACTCAATAAGCATACCAAAACATGTTCAATCTCATTATTACCATGGAAATACAAGAAAATGAAAACATAAGTGAGATATCACTTGACACCCACTAGATTAACAAAAATTAAAAAGTTGTAAAAAGTTTTATTCTGTTGGGCCTGCGGAGCAACAGAAACTCTTGCTGGTGGTAGTGAATATTGGTACAAGCATTTCAGACCATAATATGGCATTATCTAGTAAATTCCAACTTGCCCATACCCTGTAACTCAGTAGTTCTCTTCCCAGGAATAGACTGGGCCTACAGAGCCTCTCAAACTGTGGATAGTAGACATGTACAAGATGGTTCACTGAAGCAAGGTTTGTAATGACAAGTATCTGGAAACAACCCATGTATCTATCAGTAGGAAAATGGACAAGTAAATAAAGATGTTGTCATATGAAAGAACTGTGGATAACCAAGAAGATGGGTCAACTACAGCTGCTCACATAAGCATGGAGGACTTGTTGAGGCTTAATATCAAGTGAAGAACAAACCATGGCTTAGAAGAATACTTTCAAGTTTTATAAAGTTTACATTGTAGTTTTTGTTAATCTTCACCCGAGGGTATTTTTTCCATTGATTAACCACTGAGCCAAACTGGCTAGGGCTACAATTTAATTTTATAAAGTTTGCCAGCTAGCAAAATCAAACAACATTTCCCATTTCATACACTGGGTAGTGGACAGGGCTGTGAAAAAGCAGCGGTTAAGTGAGGCACTGGCCTCAGGTACTAAGTTAAGGGATGCCAAAAAGCTCAGTAGTAGAGATAAATCATATTTTAATACTATATTAAGAAAATCAAATTACCAAATCACTGCACTCAGGCCAGCCACCTGGTTTTCTAAACAAAATTTTATTGCAAACAGAGTTCTGGGATTAGGGTGAGAAAGTATAGAAGTACAGAGTCAGATCCCACTTTTATCTAAAATTGTCATATTTTGTTTGTTTTTGCCTCTTAAATTTTGCATCCAAACCAGTTGCCTCATTTGCCCCACCTTAGTCCTCGTCCTGTATGGGTTGATTTTACTATTATGCTTCATCACTCACAAAAATGCTGTATGTATTCCTTTGAATGAATCTAGTATTTCAAAATTTAAAAAATTATATAAAAAATAAAACACACAAAAAGAAGAGAGAGCTAGGGAAGGAATTCTGGGAGCTCTCCAATTTTCAGTAATGTGGAAGAAATGTTGCAAGTTAAAGAGACCAAAGAGAAGCCAGCAAGATAAAAGGAAAACCAGAGACTGGTGTCTTCCAACAGTAGAAATATTTCCAAGTCCTTTGGGTCAAGGCAACTGCTGACAAAAATAGCTCGATAATCACCTATTAAATATGTACCTTTTCAATCACCTAGGCCTTGGCTTTAGAAACCTTGTCTAATAGCCTTGCTGAGAGAAGAAAACACGTGCATTCATGCACAGGAAACAAATTATAATGTGCAATTATGAAAAGCTGTATTCTTGAGGAATCAGAAGATTAGGTATTGTCTTCAGCAGTTTGAGTTGTTGACAAGGCCTGCTGAATTCATTTGAGAGACCACTATGTCTCTACCTGTCTTACTTTGCTGACCGGTATATTCCTTTTATGCTTTGAGCCTCTTAGATACCTTCCTTGTGGCCAGCTGTTCTGTTTTTCACCTGGCATAATTGCACCCCAGAACACTGTGCATAAAAAAGCTTTGAGGAATGCTTTGGACAGGAGGAAGGGCAAAACTGGAAGTGAGGAGAGTAAATTTAGGATCTCTGATGATTTCAGGCAATGGGGCAAGCTGAAATCCCCTGGGGAAAGAACTTGTAGTTATGAATGAGCTAGTTAGAACAGAAATGTTGGAGAATATGAACCAAAATTTGGACTTTAAAAGAATGAAAAGGAAGAAGGTTATGTATCATTCTGAGGACTATATTCAGATGCTGTATAGTCAAGCCTCCCTCCCTCCCTCCTTTCTCCTTTCTTCCTTCCTTCCTCCCTCCCTCTCTCCCTTTTCCCCTCCCCCTCCCCCTTTCCCTTTTCCTTCAGCATTTATTGACCACCTACTATATGCCAAATGCTAACTTAGAGACAGAGGTTGCTAAAATTAAGACATCACCTGAGTTTACAGATTAAGAGTGCTGTCATATTTTGTTGATTCTAATTTGTGCATTATTTTTTTTCACATTACATTATCTTTGATGTTGGACTATATCTTACAAACATATCATGGTGATAACATCTTTCTTTCTTTTTTTAATATATTTTATTGATTTTTTACAGAGAGGAGGGGAGAGGGATAGAGAGTTAGAAACATCGATGAGAGAGAAACACCGATCAGCTGCCTCCTGCACACTCCCTAGTGAGGATGTGCCCACAACCAAGGTACATGCCCTTGACTGGAATCGAACCTGGGACCCTTGAGTCCACAGGCCGACGCTCTATCCACTGAGCCAAACAGGTTACGGCAACATCTTTCTTTATTATGTCTTTTAGTTGAAAGTAACTTAGATTTAATAAAAGATCTTAGACACTGTCTGTGTCAATTTTACGTGATAGCCAGAGGTGCTGGAATGGAGTCTCCTGTATGACTTCCTCTTAGAATTGCCAACAGGGGGATAGGGGACAAACTCCTCAGCCCTCGTGATGGAGTCAATTCATATCACTCTGTCCCTTTAAATGACAAAGCTTGGAGAGACAACTCTGGAGTGACCACATGACCACATTACTCCCTTCTCTCTTTCTTATCCTGCAACTTCTAACCTAACCCCAGGCAAAAAAAAAAAATTTGTGGACTTTTACTTCCCTTATATCATACTAGAGGCCTGATGCATGGGAGCAAAGAATTTTCAGTAACCACCAGAGGTTCACCCCAATGCAGCGATCGGTGCCCCACCTTGGTCTGGCACCCCCACTCACCTGCTCCACCCTCCCACTGCGGCCGACGCCCGCCATATTCCATGCATGCACTCCTGGTAGTCAGTGCACATCATAGTGACCGGTTGGTTATTCGATTGTTCCACCAGTCAGTCCATTAGGGTTTTACATACATAGATTCCAAACTTCAACGGAAATATATCTAGGTTTCACTTGACTATTGTCCTGACTGCTTTCTTGAGGGGGAAAAAAGTCTGAATCATATTAAGAAAATGTCTTAGAGTTTTTATTAGAAAATGACATTGACTTATATATTAAACTAAAGGCCCGGTGCATGAAATTCAGGCATGGGTAGGGTCCCTAGACCTGGCTGGCGATCAGGGCCAATCTGTGGGGTGACTGGTGGGGCTATCTGGGGGCTCCTGCGGGCACCCGCCTGAGCCGCCTGGTGCCACCTGCTTGCTGGCCCCACTCCCTGCTGCCACCGCTGGTCACCTCCCTCTCCGGGACGACCTGCAGGGTGATTGGGAGGCTCTTGCTGGCACCTGCCTTGGCTGGCCTTGGGCCTGCAGGCTGGGGGCAGCTTCTGTGTTCAGCATCTGCCCCCTGGTGGTCAGTGTGTGTCATAGCGACTGGTCGTTCCACCAGTCATCCCACCGTTGGGTCAATTTGCATATTAGGCTTTATTATATAGGATGCCTTTGATATATCAAATTTATCAAAATTATTATGGGATTTTTTCCTTCGATCTATTAATGCAATATTATACATTTTCTGAATAAATAACACTTGCATTACTGAAATAAACATTGTTATAGTGTATTATTTTATTTTAATATGCATTTGATTTTCTGATGTTTTATTTTTGCTTTTTCCATCTCTATGTTAAGTGAACTTAATCTACATGGTGTGTGTGCATTTGCTATTTTGGTCAGGTTTGCTAACAATATTATGGAAGTTCTTAAAATAAATTGAGAAGCTTTCCATATTGTTTTAGATGCTGTGAAATTTCAAATTCATGCTCTGCTTCCTATAAGATATGTCATTTTTGGCAAGCTGCTTTATTTGATTTTAAACTTATTTTTAAAAAATTGACTACTCAGGCTTTCCCCACTTTTAAAATAATTTTTATAATTTATATTTATCACATATGTATATTTATAATTTATATACTTCTCTATAAATTTCAAATATATTACCAGATACATACTAAGAATTTTTAAAATATATTTTTATTGATTTTTATGGAGAGTAAGGGGGAGAGAGAGAGAAAGAGAGAGAAAGAGAAACATCCTTCAGCTGCCTTCCACGTCCCCTACTGGAGACCCAGCCTGCAACCCAGGCATGTGCTCTGACTGGGAATCAAACTTTTTGGTGCATGGGATGATGCCCAACCAACTGAGCCACACTGGCCAGGGCTATACTATTTAGCAAACATTTCTTCCTTTTTAAATGACCAGAATTGCTGTAAGATGTTTTCTTGTTTATAATAGTTACAGGTGATTCCAGTGGTTAACTTGGATGGAATAAAGGGTAGTTAAATGTATCCTCAAGTCACCATTTTTAGCTGAAAACCATCCGCTTTTCTGAAATCTGGGACAGCTACCAAATTAACACCCACATGTACTAGTGATGGCTGGCAGAGTAGGGAATTGGGGGCAAGAAGATTTATGCTATATACTTATTCCATTTTCTCAGTCATCACCTACAAACAGATGTCTTCTACAAGAGCATCAGTTCAGTGGCCAAGAGTGTCTTGGAAAGAGGAAGCCACGCTATTTTCTGCAATGCTTGGTCTCGCGGTATCTTTGATCTCTCAGAGCCACCAGAACAGTGAGATGTGCAGTCATGGCCTGCTGCTTCCTTTAATCCCAGCTGTTGCTGCTGTCAGGGTCTTTCAGGAACACAGGTGGGCACCTTTATAACATCTCGTTGTGCCCACTGTAAAGTAGTTCATGTTAATAAGATTTGCCTTCAGGTGGATGGAAATTCAAATCATTTCTCCCATATGTAAGTGTACTTCTAAATTTAGATCATCAGCATCCCAATGCACCTGTCCATCAAACTAGACGAAGCAATTTGGATAAGCATACCCAGGTTTCCTTTTAAAGCTCTAGAAGCATATACATAGCTTATCATTTTCCACTTAGGTTCAACTTCCCATAGAATAATTTTCTTTAGGTTCTGGCTAGATTTCCTCTTACCTCCCACTAACCACTATGTACTAGGCGGCGCTTAAATTCAGTGAGTTAGCAAAACTTTCAGAAACTTAGCATTTGGCCAAGGAAGAAGAATGCCATAATTTCGGTTATTTCTGGGAGGTACATGGGGAAAGGACACTTGAGCAGAAAAGCCCGTTAGCAGCTGAGGTTTAAGGCGAGGTTACTAGAGGATTTGGTGCAGGATTAGCCAGGCGGTGTGACATTGAATGTGGAGAGGACCCAATCACAGGAAGATTGCCGGGGCTATTGTACAGTCATGCTCCACTTAAGAATGGGGGTTGGGGGGGGGGGGGATAGGTCCTGAGAAATGCGTCATGAGGTGATTTTTGTCCTTATGTGAGCACCACAGAGTGCACTTACACAAACTACTCTCATTGTATGTGCTCCACTTTTATAGACCGGCAGCAGTGCTGTAGGTTTGTTTACATCAGTGTCACCACAAACACATGAGGAATTGCAGTGCAAGTACCTGTCTTAAGCTTAGATTGCCCAGGCAACCACTCCAAGGAGGCAGCCACTTCAAAACCACGATCTCTGATAAACACATTACCAGGAAGCTGGATGAAGAGCCCCCTCCCTTAACTGAGGCTCCTTGGATTTTGAGATCTGGGTTGATTTCCATTACGGACCATTTGGGCTACTTGTTTTTTTCTCTTCCTGCACTTAAAATTCTTGCTCTTATGTTTTCAATTCACCAATAAAGAGTGAGCCTTGAAACCTATGCTCAACTCCAATAAAAGCAGAACCCAAGCCTGTCTCCTTTCTCCCTCTATCCCGCCCTCCCCCCCTCTCTTT